CACAATCTGAGGTAGCTAAGTACTTAGGCGTGCACTTTGATCGCCGACTGACTTGGAAAACACATATATTTACCAAAAGGAAGCAGCTTGGACTCAAATTACGAAAATTATTCTGGCTCTTAAATCGGCGTTCAAGGCTCACGCTTGAGAATAAGCTCTTGATATATAAGATGATTTTAAAACCAGTGTGGACGTACGGAATACAGCTGTGGGGGACAGCGGCCAACTCTAATGTAAAGATACTACAACGCTTCCAATCGAAAATATTGAGAATGATAGTTGACGCGTCATGGTTTGTGACTAATGATACCATACATCGTGACCTCCAAGTGCCTAGTGTCAAAGAAGAAACCCTGAACTACTAAAAATTACTGTGATAGACTAAAGAAGCACCCGAATATTCTTACAGCCAACTTAATGAAACCAAGATCAATTAGGAGACTAATGAAAAAAATTCCATTTGATTTCATTCACTAGAATATATAGACATTTCTGGTATACTAAGCTTTTACCACCAGTGTCATAATACTTCTTGATTTGAATTTGAATTAATATTGTGAATGCTAATATTGATGCAATGATTGAGATTAAGAATACCCGTATAAGGACGCATCATTGGATGCGTACCTTCCATGTTCAACTTCTACGACAGAAATATTGCTGAATGTCAACAAGACAGATTGTAATAATTTGGGGTCAAAAAAAAAAAAAAAATTAACTATACATCCACATGACCGAGCAAAGAGTGAATATATATATATTAACATAATTTAATAATGATAAGGGGATTTAGTTAGATTAGGGGAGTAAAATATAATAAATTGTTAGTTAATAGTTAGAGTGATACATATCATAAAAACATACGAAAAGTAAGAATTTTCTATAAACTTCAAGCATTATAACTCAATAAGTAATTAAATATAATATAAATAACTTTATTGTAGTGTTTTGAAAGGTTCTTGACACCAGCTATTATATTCTGTATCAAAAATAGTGTTTTATTTTAAAAAATTGATTTGACCTTGACCTGACTTTAACGACGTCACCCTAGGTCAAACTCATAACATCTGTAAATAGATCTTTTAATACCTTATAACTTTCATCTGTAATTTCTTTTAAAAACGTCATTATCTCAAGTAAATCTAGAATCCTGATCTTTTTTGAACACCTTGTATAACCATTTTTGAATGAATTACGACTTATTTCATTTGGCATTTCATAATTCTTGTTATTTCCTTGTAAGTATCCTTTTATCAACATTTATCTGTTACTCATATTCAAACTAATAATAAACACTAAAAAATTTTTTTCAGCCAAACAATGAGTATTTGATGACAATTAATCTACGACAAACTACCGCAAAAGGTAATCTCATTGCTTACGCAAATAAACAACGAGAACTTGTCATTGATAACCTTGTCACGCAACATTGGAATTACAATCTGGAAATCTGTGCTGCATTTGAAATGATGAAGGAACGTGTGTTAAACATTCCTCGAACTACAAAAGAATTAATTGAGTTAGGTAAGTTTATCGATCAGTTACTTCAAGTATAATTATTTTCATTGTAATTATAATGATATGGTACGATTTACTCGCCGGAATCAAGGTTCGAGAAAGCTTGAGACACCAAGTCGTGTTACAAAGAAATATATTTATTAATATCACAATTGACAATGTTGATTTCAACTGTCAATTACTAATGCGATTGGAGCAGTCCATTCAAGAAAAGCGGTCAGAATTGATCAATAGAAAAGACGTTGTCTTTCATTATGACAACGCTAGGCTACACATTTTTGATGACTCAATAAAAATTGAGAGAGCTTGGTTGGGAAGTTTTAATGCATTTATTGTATAATTTTGTTCTTGCACTGTCTGATTACCATTTATTTCTGTCTTTGCAGAACTCTCTTAAAGAAGTAAACTTGATTTTAAAAGAGGCCTGCGAAAATCATTTATCTCGATTTTGTACCGAGAAATCACATAAGTGCTACACCGGTGGAATAATAGCTCTATCCGAAAAATAGCAAAAGGTCGTTAATCAAAACGGTATATTTGGTTAATAAAAGGTTTGTAAACAATTTAAAAAATATGTTACAATTATCCTTTAACTTGTAAAAAAACTTTTTCCTTAATCAAATGTTTTTTAAAAAAAAAGGAAAATTTCAAATTTTCATTTAATGTAAAATTTAATTCAAAACAACATTTATATTATCGTTATGACAATATCCTTCCTCGTCACAAATTGCAGGCTGACCATCTGCTCAGCATACACTTTGTGTAACCCGTAAGCGTACGTATAATGCGTGTGATGCGTGATTATAACCAGTGGAAGTTTCTTCTCTACTGTATACCTTGCTGTACGTTCACCGGTTGGGGATATAAATTCCGAACCGACTTATGCTTGGCAAGCAGTCTTATATCCAGACCTTGATCCTGTCAAGACCGCTCCTTGAGACTGTTACTTGTAACTCGGATGCTCCCGAGAATACATCTCTCTGTGAACAGACGCTCCCATTCGCCGCTGAGTGCTCCCAGTGAACAAGTTCTATGACTGAATGTTTTCCAATCTTTTTTACCGCGTACGGGCGCTCCCGTTTACAGCAAGATGGATTCTCAGGAATTACAAATAACGGTCTCAAGGAGCGGTCTTGACAGGACTGAAGATCTGGATATAGGACTACTTGCCAATAACTCGGTTCGGAATTTATATCCCCGACTAGTGAATGTACAGCGAGATATACAGTAGAGGGGAACTTCTACTGATTATAATCACGCATTATACATACGCTTACGCAAGTTGGGTTACGTAAAGCGCCGTGTATGCTGAACAGATGGTTGGCCCGCAATTTGTGACGAGAAAGGGCGTATTGTCATAACGATAATACCAAATGTTGTTTTAAATTAAATTTTACATTAAATAAAAATTCGAAATTTTCCTGTTTTCTTGAGAAACATTGGATTAAGAAAAAAGTTCTTTTACAAGTTAAAGCATAATTGTAACATATTTTTTTAATTGTTTACAAATCTTTTATTAAACCAAACATGTGCCGTTTTGTTTAATGACCTTTTGCTATTTTTCGGGTAGAGCTATTATTCCACCGGTGTAGCACTTCTTTCTTGGTATAAAATTGAGATAAATGATTTTTGCAGGCCTATTTTGAAGTTAAGTTTACTCCTTTAAGGGAGTTCTGCAAAGACAGAAATAAATAGTAATCGGACAGTGCAAGGGCAGAACTATACAGTGGATGCATCAAAACTTCCCAGCCAAGCTCTCTCAATTTTTATTGAGTCATAAAACGTGAGGCCTAGCGTTGTCATAAGATAACGCTTTTTCTATTGATCAATTCTGGCCGCTTGTCCTGAATGAACTACTCCAATTGCATTAGTTGTTAACAATAAAAATCGGAATCAATCGTTTTGCATGGCAGCAGTAGTTTATAATGGATGATTCCTTTTCAGTCTCACTAGACACACAGCATCACTTTCTTTTCAATCTAGGCTTTGCGATTGTTTGTTGTGTCCTCGTGTCAATCACGAGCTTTCGAACATTATTTTGATGTGTTATTCACTTTTCATTTGCCCGTTACCAATCTTTTCAAAAAAGGTTCAATTTCGTTTCGTTTTAGGAGCGATTCGCAAATAGAAATTCAATCCATTAAATTTATTATCAAAAAATCATGTGGCACTCAAACATCCAGTTTCTGTGTGTATCCAGCTTTTTTTTGATGTTGGAGGGAGAATGCTTAACGCATACCCTGGACCTTGGGGACAGAGCCCGGGGTTATGTGGGACTCGCACCCACTAAAATCCCTCCGGATGTCCTGCACTAGTTCTGATTCAGGGGATCCCCGGAAACGCGTGCAGCATATTTTCAGGAATCCCTGGGACTTGCCAGTGATGATCGCCGGCTCATACCCGCCGGTATTTGATACCGACTACATGAGTGCGCCATACTAGCCGTATGGGCAGGGGACACCACCCCCAACCTTCTCCTGCCTGGGCGTATAAGAACGCCCAGAGAGCGGGGCATCCCTGTGAGGGATTGGGCGGAGAGAGGCGGTTGTGCGTAGCGTCTAGCCACCCTCAGCCGCCGTAAAGTGGAATCGAAATCTTCTCCCCCCCCCCTAGACCCCCTGGTAATAGTGAGGTAATCCGAGGGCCCACAACTCCCTATGAGCAGAAAAAGGGTGGAAGCATCGCCTGCTTTGCCCGTGTCCTGGTGGCCGAACCACAATGTGTAGAGGAGGAGGAAAAAGACGCCAGAACGTCTTCCTTCTTCTCCTCTACTTCTCCCCCTCCCCCCTCTCTCTCTCTATCTCTTTCTCTTTCTCTCCTGGTGTTGTGGCAGTAGCCACCGAAACGACGTCGGCAACACCGCTGTGAGCCGTAACCCTATCGGAGCCCCACCACCACCATTTCCTGGTGGAGAGGCGTCGCGAGCCGCCCTCTCCCTCTGTCTCTCTCGGCCTCTTCCTTCCGCAACATGATCTGCTCGCAGAAAGAGGAGACCGCCTTCCCAGCACTCTTCCTGTCGACCATGGCCTTAACCACGACCGACAGGAAGAGATCTCCTTCCACTTCGTTTATCAAGACTTCACGTTCCACCGTCCACGTTGGGCAGTGTTCCAGTGTATGTTGTGCGGAATCCTGACTTGCCCCGCAGTGGCACTGCGTCATCGATTCCTTCCCAATTCGACGCAGGTCACCAAAATAGCCGTGGCCGGTAAGTACCTGTGTCATTCTGAAGAAAAGTCCACCCCATTCTCTGCCTGCCCTCTGGTCTAGGCAGGAAAAGACGGCCTCCAAAACTCGGACACTGATGTCCAGCGGGTCATCCTCCAGGCTTCGTTTCCATTCCCGGAAAACTCCCGGCGAGCCTCTATCCTTATACGGTCAACAGCTCTGAGGGTCACAGTGCCCTTGCTCCCCCAAGCCTATTGGCCTTCACCTTGGCATAGGTTTTTGCCAAGGCATCCGCCACGTACTCTGAAGAAGGCACGTCCGCCAGGATCATTGTCGCCGCATAAGACACGGTCCTGTAGGCCCTTGTGATACGAAGGACCAGCCGCCTCTGCACAGTGCATAGTCTGGCTGTAATGTGGCGGCTAGCCAGGGCCTCGCCACTTCACACGGGGGCTCCGTAGAGAGCCCCCGACAGGACCGCGCCCATGTAGGATTTCTTTACTTCCGGATCCCGAAGGTTGGGCATCAGGCTGAGCAATGCATCTGTCCGTCTACCCAATCGGGGAGCTATGCTATCAAAGTGATCGCGGAAGCTCCATCAACCATCTAAGGTGAGGTATTTCAAGTTGAATCCCACCTAGATGCGAACTTCCTCCATCATAATCCGGGCCCTCGGGGAGGCACCCTGAGACTCATCGTGGAGAAATATAGCCTCCGTCTTCTCAGGGGTCACCTTTCAAATCTCGGATTACACCGACGATGCAGGCCACTGCGTGATTCGCGTTCGCCACTGTTCTTTCCCAGGTCGTCCCCCTGCCCCCCCTTTCACAAGTGCGCGGAGAACAGCGCTGTATAAGACGTTTCATAATAGGGGGCTCAATACTCCTGGGGAACGTCGCACGACATTACCTTCCGCTGCTGGAATACTTATTTGTCGTGGAACTTCAGCGTCCTGTTCCGAAAATAGTCACAGTATCCATCAGGTAGGAAGGCAATAAATGGTATTCGCTCAGTGTCTCCACTACCCCCGCAATCCACTATCCCTCCGCAATCAGCTGCTCCGAGAGGGAACAGACTTGCTTAATTGC